AGCAGCGCCGAGTGACCTGCGCCAAGGGCTGATACACCTTAGCTGCGTGATAGATCAGCTTGTCACCTGGCAAGGGCAGGAGGGGAAAAACACTGCTTCCCTCCCAGGAGAGAGAAGTTGAAGGATGGGCTGAGGCACATTAAGAGCAGAGGCTCCATGGCAAAGGGTGAGGAGCTCACGGTTTTAGAAAAGGCTGGAGATGCTGCTGGGGCCGCAGCCCCCTCACCCCGGAGAGGCACCACTGCGGCAGGGGGCCAGGGTGCCTTCTCCTCCACAGCAGACCAGGTGGTGGCGGCGGCTTGAAAACGGGGACTGCCAAGCAAAAGAGAGACTGCGTTAGAGGGGAAGAAAGCAGCGTGCTAATGAAGGCAACAGACCTCCTGGCTCTTTCCCTTCGGGTGGTGATATGGGTACAGCACCTCTTGTATTGAGCAGGACAGGGCCTTTCTCTTGGCCGTTGTAGGCGCAACTCCTGTCCTGGTACGGGAGGCACCTGGAAAAGTCAGGACGTATGGGTGCGTGCCTGCATGGCTACACAGGTACTCTTCCATCTACAAAAGGGCAAATCAAGCAGCACATTAGACAGAGTCTTTCCAACCCAACAGAGGTAGAGGACAAACGGCCATGAGGCCGCTCAATACTGCAGAGTGGAGAAGTCATCTTTCCCAGTATCAGCTCTGGAGGGGGAGAGCAACAGCTCCCAGCCCCTCTCCTCAGATGAGCAGCAATAGCCCCACGCTGGCAACTGTCCAGCCCTGCAAATCCCCCACTGCCACCAAAGCCCAGCGCAAGGGCGGCCCGGCCGCCTGCGCCTCGCAGGCGCCTGTCCCGGCCCGCGCCCCACGGCCGACACGCAGAGCAGCTTTTGCGAAGGAATACGCCGCACAACGCCGGCTGCTTACCGGCGCGAATTGTTTTCTGTGTTCTATAAAAGCAAGCCAAACAGGGCTCTAGCCTTTCCTTAGAGGAAACGATGCCCGCGAAGTAACAACTCTTTGTTCACGAGCGCGTTCGCTGCCGAGGGAGGTCTCGTTACAGACGCCCAGCGTAATTCCCCGCGCACCGCGTGCCCCAGCCACTTAGGGCTGAGGCAGGCACTGTATTGCGCGTCTTCTGCAAATGTTTTCCTTCAATTAGTTAATTTAGGTGGCCCTATGCTTCACTGAGCATTAATTACACCTAATTGTGCCTGGCTGCGAAACGGCAGATAAGGAGTCTTATTTGAATTTTTTAAATCCATAGTTGGGCTTTCACAGTTGAAATCGCTGGGCACTGGCGTGCATAATGCACCGTTGTTCTGCTTTAACTTTGCTGTTGTTAATCAAGTCCAAACAACTGCACGAGATAAGTGATTGGGAGGTTTGTCTCGGCGCAAAATATGTGGAGCATGTAATACAAAGGCAGCATGTGCACTAATTTTGCTTCACTCCGTCCTGTCAACGATATCATGCCTGCCAAAGTCTCTTACAAAAACATGTGTAGTGGCTAATTTAGCAACGTTCATCTTTCACGTTCAGGAAAAAAAACCTAAGAGAGCAGCCAGACGACAAGAGATTCCACAACCATGTTTTAAAATGAATTCATGATTGTATTTTATTCCGGTCTCACCATCCATTCCAGTACGTATATTGTACGCCCTTATAGAAAACCATTTACTTCCCCTATTAAAAATAGCAGCAGTTACCACGTGTGCCCAGTTTCCCCACCAAAAGGGATGGGTACAGTCGCGCAGAGGCCATTCGGGATGATGATGGGTGAAAGAGATGCTTCAAGTGGAAACAACAATTTGCAGGATTATCACATTTTGATACAATGCTAGACAGCACTGCCTGCCTTAGTTATTGCTGATCTGCAACTAAAATGCTGGCACAGCTAATTTCGGTATGGACACAACTATTGCAAGCCAGGCTAGACTTCTGTTAAGGCTTAACTGGTGAGGCTCGACTCTACTATTTTCTTTACATACCCAACACAACTAAATGCTGATCAAACCTTTATATGCGAAATTACTTCATCGACAACAACATGCCTGAAAATCTAGTCAAGAGTAAAAGCCATTTGACTGCCTCAGTGGAAAAAAAAAAAAAAACTTCCAAGATTCAAGTAGCTACAACATTGTTTATTGCCATCTTGCCACGTTCACTATAAAACTTATTTTTCCATAAGTGGATCATGAATGCTGATGCAATAAAAAAATAAATAAATCCTGTAAACCACAAGAAGTAACGCACCGCAGAGCTGCCCCCACGCCGGGAGAGAGCGAGCCCCGTGCTAACCCGCACCGCTCCGCCGGGAGCCGGGATCAGGGCGGATGGCGGCAGCGCTGGCCCTTGGCTGCCGGGGTGGCGGGAGCCTTCCCTGTGGAGCGGGAGCCCTGGAGAGCGTTTATTTCCCTGGTGCAGGGACCAGAGCTACGCTGGGGGCTGCAGCCCTGCGGGCTGTTACTCGATACAGCACCTCGGCTCCCTCCTGCTCCTCCCCGAGCGCAGCTCCCTCCCTGTGGGCCGCTAATAG